CCGTGAATATCCGTATAATCAATGATGTCGTTGGATGTTCACAATTGTCCCGATGGCCCGAGGTAGATCAGCGAAATTTACCTAAACTACCCGAATGTTATCGTGGAAAAGTTATCGTGCGAGATGCCATTGTTCTCGTCCGGGGTAGGGGGGATGTGGAAATAATAGGGAAGTATAGGGTTAGTATGGGGGAAGCAATACCGAAGGGTCAAGCCCCGCATGAACTGGGTAAATAGCAATTGGATAAAATCAATATAATAAATTGAATAAATCGAATAAAATAATATTCTAATTATTCTATCATTATTCTATTCGATTTGATCATTCCCAATTTCTAGGCATTGGCTCCGGTGTACCGGTGAACCTGTATGTACCTGTTACCTCATTCCTGAAGTCAACTTCCTCGCCCCGGAAAGTATCTGTGACATGTAGATCGCGCTTGTGATTCCCCTCTTTATCTACCCCCCTCCTCCCCCCCAAAAACCTTTTACTTTCTTTTTTTTTTTTCTATTTCATCTCTTAACTACAGTCCAATTCTATTCAATTCTACTCAATCTCTATTATACAGCTCCTATTGCTTATATTGAAAACCAGTGTGAGCAATTGCGCAAGTGATCCGCCGAAACCGGCCTGAACTTGGATCCGGATAGCTTCCCAGCTTCCAAGGTTATCTATAGTGAGTCACCGCCTCTGCTTTCCACAGGACCTCGGGACAACTTAGAACTTCCAAACTAATCCCCAATTCTCTCCCAGTAAACCAAATCCTACTACCTCCCTCTCACATATCTACACCATGGCTGCCCCGCACCGACAGCCGGAGCAGGCCATTGATGAGTCCGACTTCATCGAGGATCACAATGAGCACCACCAGGACTCAGTCCACCGCCGTCTGCGGGCCAATTCCACCATCATGCACTTCCAAAAGATTCTAGTCGCCAACCGTGGTGAAATCCCCATCCGTATCTTCCGTACCGCACACGAACTGTCCCTCCAGACAGTCGCAGTCTTCTCACACGAAGATCGTCTCTCAATGCATCGCCAAAAGGCTGATGAGGCTTACATGATCGGTCACCGGGGCCAATATACCCCTGTGGGTGCTTATCTGGCCGGTGATGAGATCATCAAGATCGCCCAGGAGCACGGCGTCCACCTGATCCACCCTGGCTACGGTTTCCTTTCGGAGAACGCCGAGTTCGCCCGCAATGTCGAGAAAGCTGGTATCGTGTTCGTAGGCCCTACTCCTGAAACTATCGATGCCCTTGGTGACAAGGTTTCCGCCCGCCGCGCTGCTATCAAGTGCAATGTTCCCGTTGTCCCTGGAACCCCAGGCCCCGTCGAGCGCTTTGAAGAGGTCAAGTCCTTCACTGATGAATTTGGTTTCCCTATCATCATTAAGGCTGCCTATGGTGGTGGTGGCCGTGGTATGCGTGTTGTCCGTTCCCAGTCCGAGCTGCGTGACTCTTTCGAGCGTGCTACCTCCGAGGCCCGTACCGCCTTCGGTAACGGTACCGTCTTCGTCGAGCGTTTCCTTGACCAGCCTAAGCACATCGAGGTTCAGCTTCTTGGTGATAACCAGGGCAATGTTGTTCACCTCTTCGAACGTGATTGCTCCGTCCAGCGTCGCCACCAGAAGGTCGTTGAGATTGCTCCTGCCAAGGACCTTCCCACCGATGTTCGTGATAAGATCTTGTCTGATGCCGTGAAGCTGGCCAAGTCAGTCCGGTACCGCAACGCTGGTACCGCTGAGTTCCTGGTCTGTGGCAATGAGCACTACTTCATCGAGATCAACCCCAGAATTCAAGTCGAGCATACTATTACCGAGGAAATCACCGGTATCGATATTGTGGCTGCTCAGATCCAGATTGCTGCTGGTGCAACTCTTGAACAACTTGGCCTTACCCAGGACCGCATCTCTACTCGCGGTTTCGCTATTCAGTGCCGTATCACTACCGAGGATCCTGCCAAGGGCTTCTCCCCCGACACTGGTAAGATCGAGGTCTACCGCTCTGCTGGTGGCAATGGAGTCCGTCTGGACGGTGGTAACGGCTTCGCTGGTGCCATTATCTCTCCTCACTACGACTCTATGTTGGTCAAGTGCACTTGCCGTGGCTCAACCTACGAGATCGTCCGCCGCAAGATGCTGCGTGCTCTGGTTGAGTTCCGTATCCGTGGTGTCAAGACCAACATTCCTTTCCTGGCTTCACTCCTGAGCCACCCCACATTCATCGATGGTACTTGCTGGACTACATTCATTGATGACACCCCCGAGCTGTTCACCCTTGTTGGCAGCCAGAACCGTGCTCAGAAGCTGCTCGCTTACCTGGGTGACGTTGCTGTCAACGGCAGCAGTATCAAGGGCCAGATCGGCGAGCCCAAGTTCAAGGGCGATATCATCCGCCCCGTTCTCAATGATGCTGCTGGTAAGCCCATTGATGTCTCCGTGCCTTGCACCAAGGGCTGGAAGCAGATCCTGGACAGCGAAGGCCCGGAGGGCTTCGCTCGCGCTGTGCGCGCCAACAAGGGCTGCTTGATCATGGACACCACCTGGCGTGATGCCCACCAGTCATTGCTTGCCACCCGTGTGCGAACAATTGATATGCTGAACATTGCCGCTGAGACTAGCCACGCATTGAGCAACGCTTACTCCCTCGAGTGTTGGGGTGGAGCCACCTTCGATGTGGCTATGCGTTTCCTCTATGAGGATCCCTGGGACAGACTCCGCAAGATGCGCAAGGCCGTGCCCAACATTCCCTTCCAGATGCTGCTGCGTGGAGCCAACGGTGTCGCCTACTCTTCCCTTCCTGATAACGCCATCTACCACTTCTGTAAGCAGGCCAAGAAGTACGGTGTCGATATCTTCCGTGTCTTCGATGCCCTGAACGATCTTGACCAGCTCGAGGTCGGTTGTAAGGCCGTCCACGAAGCCGGTGGTGTCGTTGAGGCCACCATGTGCTACAGTGGTGACATGTTGAACCCTAAGAAGAAGTACAGCTTGGATTACTACCTGGGCCTCGTGGACAAGATCGTCCAGATGCGTCCCCACGTTCTTGGAATCAAGGATATGGCCGGTGTGCTCAAGCCCCAGGCTGCCCGTTTGCTGGTCGGTTCCATCCGCAAGCGCTACCCCGATCTCCCCATCCACGTCCACACTCACGATTCCGCCGGAACCGGTGTCGCCTCCATGATTGCCTGTGCCGAGGCCGGTGCTGATGCCGTGGATGCCGCCACCGACAGTCTGTCTGGTATGACTTCGCAGCCCAGCATTGGTGCTCTCCTTGCTTCGCTGCAGGGCACCGAGCACGACCCCAAGCTGGACCTGTCCCACATCCGCGCTATCGACAGCTACTGGGCTCAGCTTCGTCTGCTCTACTCTCCCTTCGAGGCTGGTCTGACCGGCCCTGATCCTGAGGTCTATGAGCACGAGATCCCCGGTGGCCAGCTGACCAACCTGATCTTCCAGGCCAGCCAGTTGGGTCTCGGACAGCAGTGGGCCGAGACCAAGAAGGCCTATGAGGTGGCCAACGAGTTGCTGGGCGATATCGTCAAGGTCACCCCCTCCTCCAAGGTCTGTGGTGACTTCGCCTCCTGGATCGTCAGCAACAAGCTTTCCGCCCAGGACGTGCTGGACCGTGCTGATCAACTCGACTTCCCTGGATCCGTCTTGGAGTTCTTCGAGGGTCTGATGGGCCAGCCCTACGGCGGCTTCCCCGAGCCTCTGCGCACCAAGGCCCTGCGCGGCCGTCGCAAGCTCGACAAGCGCCCCGGTCTGTACCTGGAACCCATGGATCTCATCAAGATCAAGAACGATATCCGCGAGAAGTTCGGCGCTGCTACCGAGTGTGACGTCGCCAGTTACGCCATGTACCCCAAGGTGTTCGAGGACTACCGCAAGTTCGTGGCGAAGTTCGGTGATCTGTCCGTTCTGCCGACACGCTACTTCCTTGCCCGGCCCGAGATCGGCGAGGAGTTCCACGTCGAGCTGGAGAAGGGTAAGGTCCTGATCCTGAAGCTGCTCGCCATCGGTCCTCTCTCCGAGCAGACCGGCCAGCGCGAGGTCTTCTACGAGGTCAACGGTGAAGTCCGCCAGGTTAGTGTCGATGACAACAAGGCCTCGATCGAGAACCGCGCCCGCCCCAAGGCCGAGCCCACCGACAGCAGCCAGGTCGGCGCTCCTATGAGTGGTGTCGTGGTTGAGATCCGCATCCATGATGGCCACGAGGTCTTGAAGGGTGATCCTATTGCGGTGCTGAGCGCCATGAAGATGGTATGTTATTATCTCTTGCTTTCCTATTACATACATGAATGTGTTGCTAACTCTCATCTAGGAAATGGTGATCTCCGCCCCGCACAGCGGAAAGGTGTCCGGCCTCCTGGTCAAGGAGGGTGACTCCGTCGATGGCCAGGACCTGATCTGCAGGATCAGCAAGGCGTAAAAGCATAGCTACTTTGTACTACTGAACCATGCATGATTTGTGATGCGTGATGTGATTTGAATGATTTCTCAGCGTTTTTAGTTTTATGTGTCGAGTTTCGTCTCTGGATTTAGGCAATTTGTTGTTCTAGCTTATTTGGAATCAAACAGTATTCTGTTACAATGATTTTTGAATTCAAAGCATTTCAGTCTTCCCTCATCTCTATACAACATAGTGCACAAGCTAGTAATTCGGGGCCAGATCTAGCTCCGAGCGGACTTCTGCCGTTACTCCACAAAGCACTTCCTACCTAGGTGTCCTTCTCCAACTGCCAATAGCCAATGGTGAATGACGAATTGCCGATGTCCTTGTCTCTCGCCAATGAAACCCAATCGCCTCGTTATCTCGGCTAAGCGTCTGGAAACTGCGGAATGAAGGCCGATACCATCTTAAAGGGCGTGTCCCGGACTGGACTGCTCCCCTTGACTACATATCACTTCAAACTAGAGTGTATTTACGTCCGTGTCATCTGGGATCTATAGTTCACTTACCCCAATCAACTATAAACAGAACAGAAAGCAAACAAAGATGGAAACAATCCGCCGAACTCACATTAAGTCCCTCGCCCACCGCGGCACGATTCAAGGCATGACAATTTCAACATCGTCTTCTCCCACCAGTCAAGCAAAGGACCTCTGCCACTACTTCGGCGGAGTCCGCTACGGCCTTGCCCCCGCCGAGCGCTGGCGCCGTGCCCAGCCTCTACCTGTATCCTTCACCTACGGCAGTGAAGAAGCACCCGGCCGCTGTGATGAGGGTGCGGGGCTTTGTCCTCAGCCAGGCTTTAGACATATAGCCGAGACCCCGGATGTGTGGAACGAGGATTGCTTTCAGTGTAATGTTTGGACGCCTGTTGGGGAGGCTCCTGAGGGGGGATGGCCTGTTTTTGTTTTTATTCGTGAGTGTTGTCTAATTGAACCTGGGATATCTGGTGGACCTGGCTTGGAGCGAGATAGTTCCATATGAACCGTGCTGACAGGCATTGTCCGGGGTAGATGGTGGGTGGCTTCAATTCGGCACGCCGAATTCATTCAATGCGGCTGCATTGATCGGCGAGGCTGATTTCAACTGCGTGGTTGTGATGCCTGCATATCGGGTCAACCTATTCGGATTCCTCTACTCAGCAGAGCTGGAAGAGGACGCAGCCACTGTCGGAGAGACAGTTGGAAACCACGGGTTCTGGGACCAGAGACTAGCACTGGAGTGGACAAAGGAGAATATCCAGCTATTCGGCGGCAATCCCGAGACCATCACGATCTCAGGATATTCCGCAGGTGCCAACTCTGTCTTCCACCAACTAGCGTACGACCTCCGCCAACCAGACGAGAAGTCCCTCATCCGCCAAGCCTGCATCTGGTCAAACAGCCCAGCCGTCCAGCCCAAGCAGCCAACTGAAACGCAAACGCAATTCAACCAACTACTAACAGCCCTGGACATCCCACTTACCTTGCCCTATAATGAGAAACTCACCCTTCTACGCTCAATTCCCGCAAAAACTCTTCTCGACAAAGCAAAAACTATCCCCCTTCACCAATTCCGCCCAACAACGGACAAATTCTTCATCTCTCCATCCCTCTTCACAACCCTCGACACCGGCACCTTCGCCCGCAGCCTCTTAGCCCGTAATATCCGCATTATAATAGGCGAATGTTGCGACGAGAGCTTCCTCTACAGCTCATGGTTCCCACCAACGGACAATACCCTCTCAGCCCTCCGCACCCGTCTCATCGCAGATTACCCAGAACACATCGTCGACGCCGTCATACCGCTGTATTACCCGGACGGCCGTCTACCAGCGCACTGCAAGAACTGGGACCAGGATGCATGGGGAAAGATCTACGCCGATATGCAGGTTCATCAGATGCAGCGCGGACTTGTGTATGCATTGACGGAGAACGAGGATGGGGTTGATGCTTCGTCGTTACTATTTCGATATCGGATTGAGTGGCGGGCGAAGTGTGTGGAGGATACTTTGCCGGTTGAGTGGGGGGTTACGCATTCTTCGGATTATCCGGTTTGGTTCTTTGGGAATGGGGGGTTGTTGGGGGAGGGGGAGAAGGGGGTTGTGAAGGAAGGGTTTATTGATCCGTTAGGGAGATTTGTTCGTGGAGAAGGGGAGTTTGGATGGGGGGCTTCTGGTGGTAGATTGGTGAGGACGTTGAGGAGGGATGGGAGTGTTGATATTGTGGAGGATGAGGGTTGGGATGAGGGTGTTAGGGTTTGGAAGGTGGTTAGGGAAGCTGGGAAGTAGGTATATCTTTCTAGTTCCTCTATTTTTCTGGTATTTTTCTAGTTGATCTCTTTTTATATGCCAAGCTTTCCCCGCATTCTAATTTCTAATTACGTCAAGGCTGGGTACAAGGTAGTACTTGCCTTAAATAAGTTCACCAAGTACATATATAAGTACCAGGGAAGTACTCTGACTTTGATGGAACTAGACCTTTGGTGATTCACCAGTTGTAACGTAGTAACCTGTTAATATTAGTACATAATAGTTCTTTATAAGGCTTCTTCCCCCTCTTTAACTTACACTTCATTATTCATTTCTACAATCCATGAAATACTGGAAATTATCGTGGTATGTTCATTCCCATTTTCCACTTTCTATATCTATAAAGGCGAACCCGAACAATGACGTCGTTGACTCCCAACTTTGAACCCATATCGTATAATCATTATATCTTCTCTTAAACATATTCTTATTCTCCTACTAAATCCCAAAAAAGAACCTAGATCACTTCCAACACGGATTACTCCAACTGTCTAGAAATATCCAACATGTCTGACGACAATACCCGCCGCCACTGGCACGGAAGCCCAGGCGACCGTTACCAGCACCTCAATGTCTGGATGAACGGCGGTGCCAAGAGTCCTAGCGGTCGTGCTGCGTGGGCGATGCCAGATACCAGAAGGGTAAGTTATTCGCCTCTTTCCATTCTTGTACCATTCCCATATATTATCATTATCCCCTTGGCACTACATCACTACATCACCACACCACTGGATCACTACATCATTACCCTTCTATCATCCATCCATTATCCATACCATATCTCCCAAACAAAACCTAACCTCCAAAATGAAGGACTCCAACACCTCAACCTCCTCAAACGGAAAACAAACCGAAGGAACCTCAGGAGAGCGTCGCCGCAGCTCCGCAGGCTCTAACAACGGCCTCTTCTCGAACCTGCAAACGCAGAAGCGTGAATCCTCAAGCCCGGATATGGCTACCCGCCGCGCAAGCTGGAATGAACAGGCTGCTAAGGGGGGTATGTTCTCGAAGTGGTGGGATGGATACACCCGGGGTAGTGCCAATAAGTAGTTTGATCTGTGTGTTTGTGGATTTGTATACCTGACTTCGGGGTTTGATGGAAATTGGGAAATATCAAAAAAAAAGGAATATCTGATTTTAGTTTGGTGCTTCTATGGGCTTTTGATGAATTTTATGATCATTTTTATCTTTTTAAGGGCTGCCTTGTGTCTCTCTCTACAAGATAGGCCTTTATTCTAATGTTACTTCGTCCAAATATGGTCTCGGTCTTCCCCTGTACCTACAACCCTTCATAGGCCATTAACTTGGCATCCGACTCCTGCCGATTCGGGACATGATAAATTTACAAGTCTAACATCATTCAGCAAAGTCTGGTATCGTCATTGTAACTGGAACCGACAATTTTACTGATTGTAAATGTGAAAAGAATACCATGGTATCGAATTGGCACTATCTCACCCCATAGTCGTTTCCCAACCCTTTTCAATCATAACATCAACCCAATAGGCATCTTCATCCCCAGCATCCAACCTCCTCCAGACCTCATTGACCAATTTCAGGCATACATGAATCGGCTTTGGCGGCAGAACATGCAAAAAGGACGTTAGACGGCCGAGGATGAACTTGCGCGTGCGCGAGACTTCAATTGCCTCCATTGAGATGGTAGGTGTTTGGTTCGGGTTATCATTGTCACCCTCTGAATAGTCCTCGCCATTCCGAGGTTTAGTGCCTGCGTTGGTGACCAGACGCGGGAGACGGAGCTCGGAGCAGGATGCTACTAGGAGGAATGGCTGGAGACAGCGGGTGCGTGATTCCTGGGGTATGGTTTTCAAGCGGGAGAGGGTTGTCACGGCGAACTCGGTGAGCCAGTTGCTGTATAGGTTTTCTGGGGTGGAGGTTTGGGTGTCTGGTGATGGCGGGGATGGTATATGGTGAGGGGGATTGCGGTAGAGATTGTGAGAGGAAGATCTGGAGGGTGAAGGGGCGTTGTGTTGAGAATTGGTGTTTTGACCTGTTACCGGACTGGGGTCGCCGAATTCAACTGACAGGTTCATGCTGTCGAGGTCGATTGGGAAGAATGGGTCGCGGGATTGTGGATCGGCGTTGCCAGGATATTGGGATTGTGTGGATGTTGGAGCGCGTAAGCGATTGTGTAGTAGGTCTGGGAAGACGCGGTATAGTTGCATGAGGCCGACGCATCGATATGCTTCGGCCATTGTGAGGAGATGCCATACTGGGGTATCGTCGTCACCAGGACTGACGATCTCGGCCTCGGCGGGGTGGGCAAGTCCCAAGAGGCGCTCTTCTAGTTCGCGGGCTTTTTCGATTGCTAACTGTGCACGGGTGATGTCATCTTGGGAGGTGAATCGCCTTGAGTGAATGCGTTTTCGCTCACGGCGAATGAGCTGTCCGACCTCGTGCACCGTGAACTGGGTGTCGCGCGCGATGCCGGTCCACGGGTGTGGGACTCGTTGTAGAACGAAGGGGTCATATGTAGACGAGGCGGTTCGTGAATTGTCAGATAGGAGCATGGTGTCATTATCTGTGACAAAAGAAAGCAGCATCTCCCAGTAAATAAGAGCTTCTTCGAAGAACCGATAGTTATTGCTGTCGTTCTTATGGAGGCCGAAGCCAGGGCCATGTGACGATGAAGCGATGGTATTGAGCTGCTTGCGGAGCAGATTGAAAAATGATATACCCAAGTCACTTGGGTCATGCCAGCTAGCCGTCTGTCCGAGCATTAGCAGCGCCAGCAAAGACTTATCGTCTATTACTGGTTCGCGCGTGATTATATCAATAGCTTCATCACGCATCCTTCGGCCCATGGGACCGAACTGGGGAAATTCGGTGACTAGCGTTGCAGCAGCCATGCTTTGCATTGTTCGACACATTGCAAGTGAAGATCCCCAAAGACGGGATACCGTGGTTCGAAATGGGTTCATCTGGCTGTCGTAGCTAGAGAACAGTGCTGCCACTTCTTTGAAATAATACTCAATCAAGGTCCATGATGGATTATTCAGTGGACGAGACATCGACATGAAGTTATGTGGTGTAGGACGATGTGACGCAGGAGGATAACTGCGCACAATGGCCGAAGGTGAGAAGTTTCGGTAAACATTGTCAACTTGTTCCTCGCTTGGTGTTGGTCCGATAAGTGACAGAAAGAATGACAGATCTACACCGGCATCTTCTGACTGTTCAAAATCATTGAAAGTGTCTCTTTGCTGTGTGAAAGACGGTGATGCCGCTGCCATCGGGGACGGCGAGCATAGATCCGTCAGTTCGGGTAAAGTCCCATGGCCCGGATGATCCCATAGATTGTCACATAGAGGAGTTTGTCCATCTAAGACAAAATTCGAAGGAGCTGATTCATGCGTCGACTCGAAAGTCGAATCATCGGGCAAAGCATCGGCGACTTGGTTTGCCGGCTGGCTAGGAGCAGTCGAGGCAGAAGCCGCGGGACTTGGGGTTCTCACCTCCGAGATTGATGCCGGTACGGGATTAGATTGCTCATACTTGGTAACCCAGCGCAGGGATTGTGCATAGCCAGGGCACCGAACGCCTAAGCGGGTACAACGAGTGCAGTGAGGTTTCTCTTCGCCGCATTTGATCTGCTCATGTTAGTTGATATCTTTCCGGGCGGGAAACGGAAAACACAGACCCGTTTACTCTTGCATCTTGCACAGCCATTTCTAGATTTCTTCACACGGCGCATTATAAACAGAGAAGAGCAATCTGGAAAGATCCGACAACATTTAAGATGCGGAGTATAGGCTGAGGGGAAAACCGTGCGGGGAGTGAGGAATCAGCCTTATCGAGATAAACGGGATTCTCTTGCCTCTTTGGGCAGGTAAAATGAGAGAAATGGCAGTCTCTGGGTTGATAACTATATATTATACGACCATGTCAAGTATCTAGAAAGTTACGTATACATCTAACAAAATAGACAATACAACTAATCTCTGGGAATTCGAAGGTTGTTCTGACCCTCCGGGAGGACTTCGGGGAAACATTCATGATGACTCAGCTATGGCCTGGGCCGGCTTATGCTTGGTAATTGATACCTACACCTGGGCAGCGCTCGATCATGACATATTTAGTGCGCAGCAAGGTAAGTAAATGTCTTCAAATGAGGAATTATATAAGTCTAACATTAAGACAGGCAATCTCAAAGGGTCTTGTTCAGACGAGACTTGCGACTTGGAAGCCGGTGGTGGTCCCAGCTATCCGCCTGATATCAGCCTCAAGTCTTTGTACAAATCCAATTGGAAGGTCTCAATTGCAAAAAAGTTTTGGCAGAAGTACTATTGCTCGGAATTTCCACTCAACTCCTATCACAATGGCAAGTTCCGAGCTCAAGCAGACTTTAACACCAGCCCTCCTTGATGACGTGCACAAGTTGTGGTTTGATCATCTGAGCTCCGAAGAGGCACTTATCCTACCTGGATGGAACGAGATGGGAAAGTGGTTCACTCGTGATGAGGCTTTTGACAACGCCTGTGTGTAAGGGATCATTCGTTTCCTTATTTGCCAAAATAGAAGACTGACGAGCTCAAACAGTACCCAATTCCGCCCTGCCCTGGAAATAATCGCTGCCTCGGGAGCATCCGCTTCAGATATTCTCTCTGCATTTAGCCCATCCTCGCCGATGGATTGGCTCAGCATCATTATTCTACTTGACCAAATTCCCCGCAATTGCTACCGGGGCGCCGAATCGAAGCTAGTGTTTGGGCGCTTTGACCCACTATCTGAGGAGATCGCCCTGCGAGCAATTGAAGAAGAGATACCGACTCAGTCGCCGTATTTCAAGTATCGCATGGCTTATCGTACTTGGTTCCATATGCCCCTTATGCATTCGGAAAACTTGGCTGTGCATGAACTAGCCGTCAAGGTGCACGTGGAGATAGCCGGAGATATGAATGAGCTTCTGGCTAGGGACGAATCGACTCTTACAGAAGAGGAAAGAAAATGCCATGGCATTTTATCCGCGAAGGCGGAGGCACTCCAAGCATTCTTGAGCAATACTTTTGACTATGAGAAGAGGCATAAAGTGATCATTGAGCAATTTGGACGATACCCGCATCGGAATCAGGCACTGGGGAGGGTGCCTACACCGGAGGAGATCGAATACCTGAACAATGGTGGCGAAACATTTGGGTGAAGTGAAACCGTGAAAGTATATATTCATGAGTATACCAATGATCATGGTATACAATGTTGATCCAATGGAGGTGTCTCACCAAATGAAACAAGAAAAAAATATTATTAGGCGGCAATGTAAATTATGGAGCATTCACATTTGTACCCTGCAATTAGGACAGACTATAAGTTATGTCGCATATTCTGCCACGTCATTTTCTTTTTTGTAGGAAAACCTGGAAGAGACCCTGCATTTTAATAAGGAGAATAAATTAGTTCGTCATCGAATCTAATTTTTATAGGTTGATTACCCTAGTTTCTATAGCTTTACTTGGCCTCTACTTAATAGGGAGCGATACCCGATCAGGAATGACCCTCGAACATTTGAGACATCAACTCCGTCTACGGCCCGGGGGCAGGGATGGGTTACATACATTATGGGATGATCAGCACACCAAAACTAGTAATTGTCGGTTTAATCCTACGTACTTATTTTTGCACATGAGCAATTACCCCTATTGTCATAGTTCGATCGCATAGTTCGATCGCCCATAGGGGTGACTCGGAGACATCAATATGCATTTTGTTCTTTCCAACTCTCTTTCATTATGATACAACGACAGTCCTTTACTAGACCCTTCATTTTTTCGCTACTAGTTGTGTCAGTGACATCATCAAAAGTCCTTCATTTGTTCCAACATGTCTCTTCTCTTCCCGGTAGTCAATTTGCGCTCTACTTTCCGACATTCTTCATCGTTGAGACTCTTCTATTCGTAACTGGATGGGGACTGCTATTCAAACTTACAGGCGTGAAGTGCCTTGTGGGCACTGCGGTAATCGTGGCTATCACGTAAGTACTTCAATATGCTATTACTAGAGTCAATGAACCAAAGCTGAGGCGATAACTGTTACAGATCTCTGAGTTTCATCTTATCCTCATCTCAAATTTGCTTCTACATCGTCACTGGCAGTGAGATCCCATGGAATGCAGTTACAACTGTGGGAAGTGAACCGGAAGGGAGAAAACTGATGCTCAGTGGCCTGACATCGTTTCTGGGAGCTGCCAGCGCCCTTCTTGTCATCTCATGGGTACTCAAATATTGGATATGCACTATCATAAGCCATTGGATGTCTGCTCTATTTAGCACACAAACCTCAGATGCAGACAAAGAAGACATCATTACCAGTCCCCAAAGAAAGTCACGGGCAGCACGACTCACTCAAATTTTGACAGTATGCGCCGCGATAATCATTGGAGTCCTGCGCTTGACTCGCCCCAAGGTGCCTTATAACCATATGTCTCAAACTATCCCATTTAGCTTTTTCCAGGCCTTAAGTTCGAGACCCGATGAACCACATCGGAATGGCGATCAATCATTTCCACTCGCAGGCCTGACTGCTGAGCCATATTGGGAAGGCCCACACGATCACTTCAAGGGCTGGGCCCCGGGAAAGGCAGATGCCAACGCCAAATATAATCGACCCCAATGGGTGTCTGAGAATTTACCTCCAGGATTTGAGCGGTGGAGAGAGGGAGCGTCTGGCAGCGATAAAGGAGACAGTGTTACTCTGGATGGGACTTCGCGGAACAACAGCTATAACCCCGTGGATGACCCTCTTCGAATCACCAACCTCGACCGCGAAATGTTTGAGCCCGTAGCTCGGGCTCTCAAGGACAATAAAGTTCCCATTACACATGTCGTGATTGTGCTGATGGAAAGCGCCCGGAAGGACATATTCCCCTTCAAGGCAGGCTCACATTTACACAAGAAGATCCTATCGTCCTACGATACCCAAAGTCCCGAAGTACTCCAAGAGATCGACGATAAATTATCAAATTTGACACCAAACGCAGAGAAGTTGACTGGGGAGGCGAGTGGATTCTCGACAAATAGTCACATATCCAGCCATTCTAGTGGCGGATGGGATAGTACGACAGAACCAGGGATGGGAGGTATCAGTTTCAATGGTATCCTCACTGGTAGCAGTTTATCACTCAAAAGCGAGATTATGAACTATTGTGGTGCGGGCCCATTGCCGGTGAACTCCATGGATGAGGCCAAACTTCAGAATTATCAGCCGTGTATCATGCAAATTTTGGAATTGTTTAACCAACTCAAGGAGAAGTCGAAAAAGGGTTCAGTGAATAGTAAGCCTGGTAATGGGCTTGAACATATTCATGGCCGAAACTGGAGCTCCGTGTTCTTGCAGTCCATCACCGGACGGTTTGACGACCAATTTAAGCTCAACAAGAATATGGGATTTCAAGAATCAATCTACCGTGAAGACATTAACAAGCATGGCGCCAAACATTATCACCAGGGCATGATGGAGATCAACTACTTTGGGTAAGCATATCACTCTCCCGAGGACTATCCTATATGATCCCCACTCACATTGCTACGTTACCTAGATACTCGGAGTATGAGATATACCCATACCTGCGAGATGTGGTGAACAATACAATCGAGAAAAACGAACGGCTTTTCCTGTCACATTTAACGAGCACAACCCATCACCCATGGGGCATGCCCCCGACATACAAACAAGAGCAATACTTTGCCAAAGACGATCTCATGACGACACACAAGGATATGAACAAATATCTGAATACTGTCCGATACGTGGACACATGGCTCGGCGACATTATGAAGGTCCTCGACGAAGCTGGGATTGCAAACGAGACATTAGTCGTCTTTGTGGGAGATCAGTATGTCACACCTACTTTAGTAACCGCACAAACAAGTAGCCAAGTACTAATTGTAAATAGTGGCCAGGCATTCTCCGAAGACGCGCCAATCTCAGGCACATACGAGAACGGACATATCAGCAACTTCCGTATTCCCCTCGTTTTCCGACACCCGCTATTGCCCTCACTGCAAATCACAGCAAATGCAACTTCGATGTCCGTCGTCCCGACCATTTTGGATCTGCTCGTGAATTCAGGCTCCTTGGACGAGACAGACTCCGGTGTAGCCCTAGACTTGATGAACGAATATGAAGGACAGTCACTGGTGCGCCCATACCAGGCCACCCACAATGGACGTCAGGCATGGAACTTCGGCATTATCAACCCCGGTGGTACAATGCTCAGCGTTGGATCTGCGGCTGTCCCATATCGACTCATCTTACCTCTCAATGGGAAATTTGAGTACACTTTCTCTAATCTAGACACTGACCCGGATGAGTTGAATCCATTGCATGGGTGGTCCCTCAAGGAGTTAATCGGTCGTGTACAAAGGAAGCATGGAGACAAAGCCGGGAAGTGGCTGGCCGATGCGGAGAAAGTGGGAAAATGGTGGATTGAGGAACAGAAAATATTATGGAATTACCAATAGAAATGTAAATAAATTTCAAAATATTAACTACACGTAGAAAGAAAAAAAAAAGAAGAATAGGAAAAGAAGCGAGTTGCCTTGGTATTGTTCGATTTCTTTGTCTGCGCCTGAGGCAAACACACCCGCCCCACCTCCACTTCATGTTTTATATTCGTTGCATTTCGCGTTGAGTTCGATCTTTTATTTACAATTCTCTTTTCAAAGGGAAGTTCATTGATCGAGATCGCGTAATCTCACATTGACAGTGCAGTGCCTTCGCCGTGAGACCCGACCCGGACTCATCCTGTGCATCCGACACTGTACCCCCCACCATTTGATTGCATCCTCTCAAGCTTCTCACCTGCAACCTGCAACGAATCATGGACGGAACATATTCCACCGATCCCGAATGGGCATCTGTTACCCCAATTGATCTGGATGATGGCTCGAACTCGGGCGCGATGCCACTGGCGACCATCGCCTACCCAGACGAGTACCTCGAGGCAACCTCGTATTTGCGTGCCGTCATGGCCGCAAACGAGATGTCTGAGCGAGCATTGAAATTGACGCAAGATGTGATCTCGATGAATCCAGCGCATTACACCGTATGGTAAGTCGACTAGTAGCTTCCTCGTAACATGCCATATTGCATATCTGACATTCTATATAGGATCTACCGAGCAAAGATTCTATTTGCTCTGAAGAAGGACCTGAATGAAGAATTGAGCTGGCTGAACGATGTTTCATTGAAATACCTGAAAAACTATCAAATTTGGTATGACTATCACCCGACCACCAATGCCAGAAAGTCATGAAAGAAAAAGAGACAACAAAACAAAAACAAAAACAAAAACAAAACTAATAACCCAAAAGGCACCATCGCCAAGTCCTGCTATCATCAAAAGAGCACTTCCCAACCATCCCACCCAAAGAAGCAGACTTCCTAATGGAGATGTTCGCCCAAGACTCCAAAAACTACCATGTATGGACCTACCGCCACTGGCTCGTGCGACACTTCAAACTATGGGACCAACCGCGCGAACTCGAAGACGTGGAATTCCTCCTGAAAGCTGACGTGCGCAACAACTCCGCCTGGAACCACCGGTACATGCTCCGTTTCGGACCGCGGGATACATCAGCCCCAGACGCGGGGATGGTGAACGCGGGTGATCCTTCGACCGCGCCGGCTGAGAAGGGCAGACTTTCAATTGTTGACGAGGACATGGTTGACGGCGAGTTGAAGTTTGCGCAGGAGGCTATTCTGCGCGCGCCGGAGAACCGGAGCCCGTGGTGGTATGCGCGCGGTGTGCTGAGGGCTGCTGGACGTGGCTTGGGAGAATGGGAGGAGTTTGCTAGTGGGTTTGTTTCTGAGGGTGGTGTTAAGAGTTCGCATGCTGTTGAGTGGTTGGCGGATGTTTTCGCTGAGGCTGAAAAGGAAGAGGAGGCTGTTCGGATGTTCACGATGCTGAAGCAGGAGTTTGATCCTATTCGGAAGAATTATTGGGATTATCGTATTCGGAAGCTGGATCAGGATGTGGTTGATTTTGGGAAGGGGGTTGAGACTCTGGCTGCCGTATGAAGGATGGGAAATGCGCTCTGAACAAATTCTGTCAGATTAATCTATCGTTGTTCTAGGGTCTCGGAAGTTTCATTGAAAAGTATTGCGTTCAAATGAGATTCTTTTTCGAAAGAAGAGACCGCTGTGTACATTGTAAGATTGTATAAACGATGCGAAAGTCCAAGCCTTCTATCTAGATGATAGTAATTAGAAAGTCTGAAGCCAACAAGTGTAGTGTCGCAAATGAAACGCCAAAAGTCAAGCCAAAAAAGGTATCGGAAACCAAAAATATTCATTATCGTCAATATTCATGCCCATCCCTCATCCAACATCTTGCGCCATTCACTGGCCATATCAATGGTGACATAGCTACCACCGCAGACAATGATGACAACTCGACTCTGTGGGTTGAGATCAGGAACAAGTTGCTTAAGCTTCGAGTTAAACTTCTCAACCTCCGGCTCAAGCTCCTGGTCCGTCTCATTATCCGTCGAGGTCGACCGATCATCACCATAGCCCTCATCGCGGTAAGTAACTTCGGCCTCATCCAAGCCCCTCTTGCGCTTTTTAATGCTCTGAGCGCCTGCACCGGCAGTTACCGACGCAGGAACAGCAGTAGCAGCGTCACCGATGGCTGCCTCAATGCAGACACCGCATGCAAGTTCGACAAGGAGTCGTTCGTCATTGGCGAGGCGGAGCACGCCACGGGCAGCGTCGGCATCCGAGAGGACGGTGCTGTGCACCTTGATGCCTGGGGGCGGGGACATGGCGTACTGGAAAGTTGTTTCCGAGACGCGGACAGCGCCGAGAGAAGTGGCTTGGGATGTGATCTTTGGGAGGGAGACGAGGGATTTATTGGCCATTGCTGCTGCCAGAGAATCGGTACCGGCCGTTTCAATGGCGAGGAGGTGAATGGGGTTTGGCTTGGAGGAAGGGGAGGTAATTTGCTTTTTCTGGCGTCGTTTTTCGATGCCCATGACGAGGCCGTTGAGGAGGCCACCGCCGCCGACGCTGCAAAGGATGGCGTCTAGGGGAAGGGCCCGGTCATTGTATGCATCTTTGTCTTCGGGGGTGTTGGCGGGAGGAAGCTGGGTCTCGAGCTCGTCAATGATGGTGCCGTTTCCTTCCCAAATGGGCTGGTTATCGAATGGATGGAGGGCAATCTTGATCACATCCTGGTCATCTCCATTGCTTGTCTTCATGATGGTTTCCCGCATGTATTCTCCTGCTTCTGCGAATGTCTCGCCATGACGGACGACATCTGCGGCGCCTGCCGCCCGGATTTTGTCAAGCATCAAGGGCTTAGTGGCCATGGGCACCACGACGGTGCATGGGTAGCCCAGGCTCCGGGCTGCACAGACGGCTGCCAGTCCGGCGTTTCCTCCAGACGAAGCATAGAAGTGGACTCTGCGGCCCATGCTTGCTGGATTGCGAAGATGAGAGAGTATCTGGTTGCCCATAGCACGGGACTTGAAGGAGCCACTTGGCTGCACGTTCTCCAACTTCAAGAAGATCCTACATCCAGCTGCCCGGGAAAGACATGCAGACTCGACCAGTGGTGTCTCGATCCATGGCGTTTTGAACTGCGGTTGATCGCAGGCGGACATGCTGATGCTCCCCATTGTGATGTGTTGAACAAATGGGAGAGGAAAAACAAGCGCTTCTGTTGTTCACCGGAGGAGTTCTAAGACTAGAAGTATAGAAATGATCCCAAAATAGTAAATTGTTGTGTCGAGTGGTTACACAACAGTGAGGTGTATATATTCGTCAAAAATAGGGAGATAGGGATATCTCGGGAAGAAAAAGAAAAACGATAAATACCAAACATCCAAACTCCAGTATGCAGATATTAAGACATGTTTTGATATACAAAGTGAGCCTCCAGGGCTAGGGTAAATGTTTCCCGACGGGAAACCCCAGTTTCCCGCCTGATAGGACTGACCGCAGCGTCCACGGTTCTGGCCCAGTCTTTCCCGTCAACAACCTTGAGGGAAAACCCCAATCACAGTGGGTCAAGCATGGCAGGAATGACATACCGTTACATGCTGTTTGGATTAGAGTGGCCGAGCGTGGGAAACCTGGCGTCTCAGCTTTCGGGATGTGGAGGATCCGGGAAAAAAAAACCTCATCGACTCTGGCGCATCTAAGCGGAGAAGATGCAAATCTTTATTCAGACGGACCTCTTCTCCGCCTATGATTGGTCGCGGATCGATTCTTCTTATCAAATCGAAAGCTCAAAACAGGCGCATTACTCCTCAGTGAGCAAAGGAGGGAAAAGAACACCTTTCTTGACGCCCTCACCGTAATCTGTATCCGAACCGTACGCCGTGGCCGCGAATGCCCGCTTGGAGGGGTCCGAGGTGTTTACACGGAGCAATTCTAGAAGGTCATGAGACTTGCCGGGCATGAACGGTTGCAATAAAATGCCAGCGATCCGCAACGATTCCGCCACATTGTAGATTACTCGTTGAGAGTCGGGAGTTTTCCACGGCTCCGCCGCATGGAAGTACTTGTTAGTCTAAAAAAAACAGGTCAATACTCGCTGAACCCGTGCGGGGACGATCATCTCTTACCTTTTCGATAATGCTCATAGTTTCGTGCAGGGCGGCACGGGGATTCGGATTCTGCATAAGCTCGGCAACCTTGGGAGGCGTCTGCTCCAACATTTTCTGATGTTCCAAGTCCTCAGGGGTAGCAGCGGGAAGCTTATCCAATCCGGCGTCCATAATGTACGAGCGCAAATTGCCACGCGCACATCCAATTGCACGCAGAGCAAGGTTTCCGAGGCCCCCCTGAAGCATTTTCTTGTAATCTCGGATGATAAAGGAATTATCAAAGTCCGCATCGTCTGCAAGGCCACCCCTGTACGCTAGGAAAAATCGCATGCCATCGACTCCGAACCGGTCAATGGCGAAAAACGGGTTCACAACATTGCCTGTGGATTTGGACATTTTCTCACGATTCATCGTCCAGTGTCCGTGCACTAGGACGTTCCGAGGCAAGGGGATATCAAGTGCCATGAGGAAAGCAGGCCAATAGACGCAATGGAACCTGCCAAACAATTAACTTTGCACACGGCCCTTTGCGAAGCTCCTGAACTTACCGAACGATATCTTTGCCAACTATATGCAAGTCTGCAGGCCATATAGATTTGTTTTCTTGTCCAGGTGGGAAAGGATATCCCGCTCTGGTCAAGTAGTTGACCAACGCATCTAACCACACGTAGATAGTCTGTGTGTCATCGCCGGGAACAGGGATGCCCCAAGTCAGACGTTCCACAGGCCGAGAGATCGAGAGATCCTGCAGTCCAGACTCAACTGCTTGGATCACAGCTGGTGTGTACGAGGTAGGGGTGATGAACGGGTCTTCTCTTTTGTACAATTCAAGTAGACGATCCTTGAAGGCTGACAGACGGAAGTGGTAGTTGGTTTCTGAGGACCACTCTACCTCTTTACCCGTCTCTATTGAGACCTGTGTGCGGTAAGCATTCGTATTCGTTGGAGAACTGATATATTACATACCATGCGTTTCCTTCCTGTTGATGGGTCTAGAGAGTTCTGCACTTGCGTCTGTGGGTAGAATGTCTCGTCGCTGACTGAGTACCAACCTTCATGCTTTGAGGTATAGATATAGCCACGGTGTTGCAGCATTTCCTACTCATAATCAGCCATGCTCTACTATGAACGGAAGGTAGTCGCCTACCCAGAAATATTGGACGGCATCTCGATGCGCCGGGTCGGTTGTCCTGATGAAATGATCGTTGTCGAGATTTGCAGCCTTCGAGAGGGCCTATATCAAATGATTTGAGTTAGAGATAACCTTGTATATGGAAAAATGGGACTCGTACCTCAAAGGTTCGGCAATTCATATCACAAAATGCCTGGGTATCCATGCCCGCTTGAATGGCAGCTTGTTGGATCTGTGATCGATGTTAACACCCATTATTGACCCAAAATCGCATCCATATGTAGTACCTTCATACCATGCTCATCGGTTCCGGTCAGTAGTTGAGCATCTGTGTTCCCGAGCAAGACCTGCCACCGTTTCATGATATCGGCGATCACCATTGTGTATAAATGGCCGACATGGGGGGCTAAGGAAAATGTGTGGTTAGTAAACTAGTTTGAACATGAACTTCAGCATAATTCTCACCAGCATTGACGTAGAAAATCGGTGTTGTCACATAGTAAGGCTTGTTGGACCTATGCGGCGTAGTTGTGACTCCGCGCCGGGAAATCGTTGCCCATCCATGCTTATTGGGTGTACAGTTCCACGAATGTCTTGATCTCAGAAGCTGAGACGCTCTAAATAAAGAGCGAAGTGGCGTCCTTGCTGCAGCCATTGGGATGGTGATATGGTAAGAAGAGCGTTGAATGTTATTCCGCACATCTCGGGTGGTCCGAGCTTCTCCGCAAGACTCGGCCAATTTTCTGCGCCTCCGTCGCAGCGATTACATCGTCATCAAGTACACCCAGGACCTCGTCTTCAGCAGTGTAGATATATATATTATCTCATTTGAAACAAATTTCATCTTTTTCTTATATCGCATATAGCTATCCCCCCCTTTCTTTGCCAACTTGAAATACCGATCGCGATGGCTGCAGCAAGTGAGGATACACTGACCAAAGTGTCAACCGAAGGTAAGTCTCGAAATATAAGCTATGTCATCCCTTGGAAGCAACTGACCTTGTTCCCCCCATGTTCAGCTGCGACCGAATTCGTCAAGACCTTCTATCCGGCCTTGGGATCGAACCGCCAATCTCTCAGCTCCTACTACTCCCTCGAGCCCACAACCATCCTATTCAATGGAAATCGTGTCACAGACGGTGCTGCGGTGCAAGAAATCTTTACCAATCAAATGTCGCCAACACACTACGAAGTCCAATCATACGACTGCCAGATAATCAATAAAGCATACCCTACCGTTTTGCCAGGTGGCGGACTGAAGCCACAGTCAGAGATGGGAGTCAAAGACATGTCGTTTCTCATTGTAGTCAGTGGATTTGTGCGCTATGGTGAGGGTCGCGAACAGCCGCAACGCGGGTTCAGCGAGACCTTTGTGCTGGTTCCCAATCCATCTGCAGAGAGGGCGAGGGGCCGCAAGGATTGGCTTATCGAAAGCCAGAACTTCCGCCTTGTGGTTTGAGCAGCCACACAACATTCGATCCAATGAATTATGAATCAGTCACAAGTCAGAAGGCTACCTACCATGTGATACGGAAGTGAAAGATAACTAAGCTATGCCCACCCCCGGGGCCACCAAGAATGAACTGCTGTTAATGAACTGCTGGGAGATACGATGCAAACAACGGTCCATTGCTTGAAATTGCTTCAAAACTAGAGCGCCAGACGCCAGGAAGAGAAGGAAAATGTTGATATCTTCCCCATTATGGGGATCATGGCCCAGCCGATGTCTTGCGTGGTATGCGGAGGTTTGCTTTGACTCTTTCAAGTAGCTCCTCACGCGTCGCACGCTCATTTGGTAAAAGCCCTCTCTGAAACATTTGGTCAGTGTACCATTCTCAAGAAAATAGATCATTATCTGGGCGTCAGTCATGTCTAAATGAATTGATTGAACATACCGCTTGAAGCCATCTTTTTATCTCATCCATTGTCCAATTTTCAGGGTCTTGTTTTCATTAGCCTGTGTTTGATACCTAGTAATCGATATTCTTACCACCTGTGGGATCTGCTTGTGCGGGAAGAACATCGCTGCCCAAGATGGAATAGGCTGCCACTGCAGTGACCATCCCTGCAAACCCTACATAGGAAGATTATGGTTAGAAATGTTGGCGAGTGCCTTAACTTGGTATCATTTACCAAGGAATAGATTCTATTGGGTTTAGCATTAGATATATCTCATGAGAGTATAGACAGATGTGTTGGTAATACCTTGGAATTCAATGCTCGATCTAGAGGGGTCGGCATTTTCAAAAATGATGTAGTGATCCTTAAAATTTGATGTTAATACAGAACTCTTTCTGGAGGTTTAAGAGGGAATAAGTAGAAAAAAAGTCTCTCAAAGGACACGTGCAAAAGACAAGTATTCAAACATAGATGTGAGCAGTTCGTCAGGACGCGGGTTGCACCGCCACACCACGCCACCACTCGTTGCTGCCTTCGAACTATACAGTTGCAACTTGCAACTAGTTACTTCAACTACATACTTTAATAACTCCCAATACTAGGTAATAGCACTTTCCTTCGAGTGATTCTATACGTAAATATTGAGTCATTGTTAGATACTGTTAGAAAATGCAATGCCCACTGTAACTGTCTCCCTCGCACTATTCTAGCAGGCACTGCATCGCATATCTATACACACCCACTAGTCCATCATTATTGCACTCACTCATTTCAAATCACTTTGAGCAGCCTTTTAAACAGACGACATGGTCACCTTCCTGTGTTCGATTACATTCATTATTGCGGTGGGAGTTGCCATCGTACAAGGGTACGGTTGATCTTCATTGCAGTATGTATCGAGCCAGAGATTAACTTTGTTTACAGCCTAGCATTCTATAAACGATACCGAGTCAAATTGCAGGTCACCTCAAAAGGCAACACTCCTCCAGAGAGCCTGGACCTGGAGGGATACGATCCTGAGGGAGGACCCATTCAGCCCCCGCCAAAACTCCATCGCCATTCACGATTGGGGAGCAGGAATTCGAGGTGGCCAGGATATCCTGAGCAAGGGCGTCAACCATCACGAGCAAATGTGGAGTCCCATTTTGCGGCATATCGCATCCCCGAGGAAGCAGATATGGGGACTGTCCATCATTTCCCGCATTCGCATTCGGTGATCCCAAATATCCCAGCCACATTTCTGGCCCCAGTTGTACGAGCCACAACGCCACAAGCCAACGCAGCTTCCCCGCCTGAGGCACCAACCCGACAATAAATTGTATATGACTAAGCAAGGGCTTTTGCAGCTTCAAGCCCTAACATGATCCGCACACATTCACCTTAGAGGCTAGTGTCGACAGTGAGCTTTCTCTTTTGCACCTTGCTTCAAAACACCCGCAACCGTCATTATGCCTGCCGAAGTCTCCGATATCAAGCAGTTCATTGAGATCTGCCGCCGGAAGGATGCCTCCTGTACGTTGCGCCGCATTGATGGACTTCCGCCATGAAATTTGGAGATGATCATTGATGCTGACTGTTTACGCCTTTAGCCGCCCGCATCAAGAAGAACGGCAAGACCCAGCAGACCAAGTTCAAGGTCCGCTGCCACCGCAACCTTTACACTCTCGTCCTGAAGGACTCCGACAAGGCCGACAAGCTCAAGCAGAGCCTGCCCCCTGGTACGTTACGATCGCATTGTTCTGTCGCATGAGTTCAGAAGATTGAAGGATACACAACTTGGAAGATGGACTTTGAATACAACTTTGAACCTATGCTGACGATTTCTTTCTGAATAGCCCTCAAGGTCGTCGATGTCTCCAAGGGCACCAAGAAGACCAACTAAATTCGGTAACATGACGGATCGGAGTGCGGCGTGATTGGTTGTTGATGCATGCAAGACCAACTGTTGGAGGGATACATGACGCGGGCTTGGTCCCTCTGCGAGCCGACAAAAGGAAACCTCAGTGGCGTGGAGCATGAATTTTACGCCCGGGAGTTTCTTTGCGCCTTTTAAAACCGGCTGCTATCATTCACCGGTTAGGCGACTCGCATTTTCTGGATGCACTCGAGGAACACTTTTGCCGGAGTTTCCAGTCCCTACAACCCAATGAAAAAAACAGTTGAAATATCATTACTACATAGGTTTCTCGTTCTCAGTCGAGATTTCCTAATCCATTATTCACATCATGGATGTTCTCCCTACTTTGACCTTGTCTCCCCAGGCAACAAGTAGACCGGGTAAATACTGACTTGAGTATATCAATGCTCCTTTAATCATCCTATTAGCCAGCGCCAATCGCCCCCAGTTGAATCAATTTCAGACGAGAGTGCCCCGTCATGCTCTCTAGTCAAATAATCTCAGACTGATACAGTATTAACTTCATTTCTTTCTTTCCCTTGATCGCTCGACTGAAAGCAATGACAATGTCTATATTTGCCCGGCATTGGGTTCTTTGACGTCAGAGTTTTTGCCTGGATCGCCTCCCCAGATCCTTGCTCAAGTCTTTGTTTAAGTCAATTCCTTACCTTTGCCCGCACAATACCATTGCTGAGCATGATTATCATCAAGAACAGCTGTATTGAAAGACCTTTATTGATCTTTATTTGCGTCAAAAGTCAAAGCAAGTATGTCCATAACATATCCCCTCGAACCTATATAAATGAACTTGGGACGCCAAAAGTGAAGCCATCAACAACATTGATCATAGTAGCATCGCATTGTTCCCTGTTTATCTTGACCAAACAAAGGTATAGTGTCGTTCCCAGAATCTCATTCGATTTGCAACACTGTCCCGTTCAGACAAACCAACCTGTTGAATCGGGATTATGTGTCACCCAAAGCCATTGGTCCCTGCTATGGGCGACTTTAGTAAGCTCCCACCAGAGATTATCTTCCAGATCCTAGACGAGCTCTTGGGAAGCTCTCCCAGATTGAGGCACGAGAACTTTCATTCCATTATGCAGCTGATGAGAAGCAGCGAGTCACTAGAACGATACATTAAACTCGGATGGATGAGTAGCGATGTACCGAACGGTTTTAAGCAGAAGGTCGATGGAGTCCAGTGGTACCCAGACTACGATACTGCGAATGCAGCTCTAACCCTCCTGGGCCTTGATTTCGGCTACGTCATTCCCATCGAAGGTTGCCCTCGGCTAGGCCACGATCTCATCACCAGTATCATTTTTGCCGACTGCACCGATTGTTCTGAGTGGTTCTCCGAGATGCTGCCTCCTATTCATATGAGCTGTTTCAACCAGGGTGGTTGGTCGTTCCTTTCTCTAGCACTACACGCTAAAGCTGAGAAACTACTTCATCGTTTCTTCCTCTCGGGCTTCCCTCGCAAACTGTGTAGTTTTATCATCGACAGTGCTCATGCTTTGGGGGCAGGGCCATCAGTCATTGGGATTTCTGCCTCATCCATGGATCATCAGTCTTTCACCAAGCTCTTTAAACAATTGGAGGAAGGCTTGAATGGGCGTGGCTTCAACGAGACTCTTAAATATGCACTCACGCACCAGGAACTAGCGGCAATCCGATGTGTTGCTCCTCCGGAACTCCTGGATATGTTGTTTGAAGCCGGTCTAATATGTCTACATCCGGTTCGTCATAGTCGATATTGTTCTGGTATGTGTACCGAGATGGATGATTCTTCTTGATCCTTGTGATTGTATGTAGATATCTTCCAAGGCTCGTGCTTACGCTTAGGATAATATTACTGAGTTTTGCAGAATATTTGTTTGTTTTGATATCATATCACTTCATCCTTCCGTCTTCAAATGCTCTATACATCCAGAGCTAGGTAGGTAAGTAAGTAGGTACCTATCGATTTATAATCAAAAGAGATAAGTTTCTTCACCTGCAGCACTCCTTACAATAGGTGTATCACAAGATGCGTCCCTAGCGTAGATCATTACTCTTCAGGCCACGGCGCTTGTTTCCTATACATATAGCCATCCACATTGCTTGGCACGTCACAGCTTCTCTTGGCAACAAGCATTTTATATGTTGTACGGTAGATTAAGCATTCTATTGGAATATATACTTGGTTCTATATTTCCGTCGGCCCGTTACCCCGGATCACTGCCGTTAATTGCCGTTGTTGGCTGCAGAAATTAGCCACGACGGCTAACACCCATGCCCTTGGCTTCTGCACCCCGCAAATATATTTATGTGAATTCTACTTCCAAGAATTTTAATTGACTATCTCTCTTTATTGAAATAGGAAGGCTGGTCGTATGATCCTTGGTAATGTCCCACTTTAGTACCTGAAACGGAGAGCCTTTCCTATTCAGACGAACAAGATAAAGCCCCAGTTTCAGTCTATGATTCTCCACCAACAAGTTCCTGCAATTGGCCTTTTATGTCTCGATCCATGTTACATCCCTGTGTTTAACTTGAACGAATTGAAGCAATTGTGTTTGACACTATTCCAGGATCAGAACGGACATCCTTTAGGAACAAAACCTTCTTCAGGCTAAATCAATAGTCCCATATAGGACTAGCCTAAGATAAGGTCTGGGAGGGCTGTCTATATAAAGCGTAGCTGCTGAGGCCGAAGATATCTTTTGCAAGACTTAAGCATCCATTGATTTCTTTCCTAGCAAAACCGGAGCAAAATGACTCTTGCAAAGCTATCTACGCTCCTGGCCTCGGCCACTCTTGTTGCCGGTCACGGCTATGTCTCTAGCATCGTAGCCGATGGCAAAAAGTAAGTCAATTTAAGAGCGAAAGTCCATACCGACAATCAACTAACCACGTTATCAGCTACACTGGCTACCTCGTTGACAAGTACTCCCACATGGATCCTGCCCCCGAGAGCGTCGGCTGGACAACAACAGCAACCGATCTTGGGTTCGAAGATGGCACCGAATACCAAGACCCGAACATCATCTGTCACCGAGACGGAACCAACGCAGCTTTGAGTGCCACTGTCAAGGCTGGCTCCGATGTTGAGATCCAATGGACTACCTGGCCAGAGTCGCACCACGGTCCTGTCATCACTTACCTCGCCGCGTGCAACGGTGACTGCAGCACAGTCGACAAGGCTGCGCTGGAATTCTTCAAGATTGAAGAAGATGGTCTCATCGATGGTGCCTCTCCTCCAGGACACTGGGCCACTGATGACCTTATTGCTGCTGGCGGCAAGTGGACTGTGAGGATCCCTGCTACTATCGCTGCCGGTAACTACGTCATGCGCCATGAGATTATCGGTCTGCACTCTGCTGGCAACAAGAATGGTGCTCAGAACTACCCGCAGTGCTTCAACTTGGCCGTCACTGGTGGTGGAAGTGATAAGCCCAAGGGCAAGCTTGGTGTGGAGTTGTACACCAACACTGATCCCGGCATCTTGTTCGATCTTTACTCTACCCTTAAGGAGTACATTATCCCCGGACCTCCTTTGTACGCGTGATTCAGTGTCGCAAGGGAAATATCAGATGGAGGGTATCTTGGAGGAACGTGACTTTGATACTTCAGTCTAGTATTATTCTAGTATGGAATGCTATGTGCCCTGTTCATTTGACAACTGTGACCCTAAAAAACCAGATATCCCATAAAATCATGACAAGCTCTATTCTGTCCTCTCATAAGGCAAAGCAATAAACCCTAGCACCTTTGCCCCCTCAAGCGCCCCATCAACACCACCTAGACTCAAATCCGTCTTGCGCAGCTCAAACTCCCCAAAGAAATTTGGCTCAGCAGAAACCCTATCAAACCCAAGCCCCTCAAACAAAGCCAAACTCCTCAAATTTGTCTGTCCAATCTTGACACTGAGACACTCAAATGTTAACCCCTCCGATGACGCCGCGGTCTCAACACCAGTCCGCAGTTTCCGCACAGTCTCAACATCAACACCACCGCCACCTACAAATTCATCCAGAATAGCCCCCTGGTTCTGAACAATATACCGCATGAACATGAGCAGCGCAGCGCGCCCAAACCCACATCGCTGGTTAATCTTCTCAGCAATCATGAGCTCGACCTCGCCGACTATCTGCGGCGGGCTATCGCCCTCTTCGCCATCATCGATGCGCAGAAAGAGGTTGATGTCACCAACCATATTAGCCGGTGAGTCACTTTCTGATTGGAGCTGTGTTTGGCTAGGGACGTCATCTTCAGCGCCTGTTGTGATCGGTCGACAGATGATAAAGGTTAGTTTGTCTGCGTCTTGGCGCCAGCTGCGTTGCATCGAGTATTCTTCTTCTAGACTTAAAGGTTCTGAGGCTGTTGCTTCTTGGATTTCCTAGAGGAATGTAAGGAAGGTGGGTCATTATAACTAGAATCTTATTGATCTTGTCTTACCGGGTCTTTCATCCATTCGTGGTATCGGGGTACGTGCCATGATGAGTATGGAACTAAAAGAGCTTTTGAGGAGCAGAGGGCTATTCCCCGGGAAATTGAAATCAGCTTCCGTCTCGATTTCTGGGGGAAAGTATATATGTGGCTTAGGGCAGCGTACCGATGTTGGCATTGAGTAACATTGTGGGTGGATGACCAGAAAATGATCGTTTTCAGTGTAGTTGACTCGGAATTATTCAATTGGTATGTACTCTTGTGGGGAAATGCTCATTCGACGTCTATTAGGGTCTGGATGGATATAAAGCAGAAGAAGTTAGTGGGATGGATTCTTCCAATTGTGGGTCTTGGCGCGTGGAGCCACTCGGGTTGTATACGATTTGTCTGAGCGGCCATGGGATTATATAGATGTATCAATATACATATGATTTGGCAAGGTGTTTATTTCATTAGCACCATTGATGGATAGGTATCTCTATCAGTTCACTTTTGTTCTTCCTGACCCTTGAAAACTCCAAACCGGACTACCTCGACCTCTAGAGTCTCGGTATCAACCAGAATCAACTCCCCAGTTTCGTTGAATTTGGGAATTGCCAGCAGCCGAACACGGGGTGCATCGGAGCCGTCAGCAGCACCCACCATTTCAGTGTCGCCATCTAGGCGGAGAGGGACGTCACCCTCAATCGTGGCAGTCTTGAACTGTGGCTGATTGCCAGCGAAAAAGATATGTGGGCAGGACTCGATAATGTATGGATCATCGGATTGGAATGGATATGACCCTGGAGTATTGTTAGCAAACATTCGTTGAGCGAGTCAGGTGTCCGAGCATACAAATTGTGTCCGGCGCAGTGGGAACGCCGCAGCGCCAACGAAGCATGGCTTCCATGATTCGTATCCGAGCATCGGAATCTGTCTCTTTGTCTGGGGTGCTATCGCCGCCCTCAATAGTAATATAGCGCAGAACATCGTCAACGTTCTGACCGCTGCATCCCCATAGTCTCCAGCCTTCCACGTCACCGTCCCAGGGGTTCGTGACACTGTCGAACCAGCCCGCTTCGGGTTTGTCATCTCCTCTGATTGGAGGTGCGGAGTATGCCCTTGATTGGGGGAACATAGTACGATGGATCCCCTGCTGAGGGAGAGAGAAGTTTGCGGGATCCTTTTCACCCGGCATGAGCGTGACAGGAATGCTGGGCAAGATCTCCGCTAGGAAATTATCGAGTTCTGTGATAGGTGCGGCATTGTATGCAGAGGCATCGTAGCCATACTTTTTCGGTTGTGATTTTGTTGCCTCATCGTTGCCAGAGTTTGCTGATGCCACATCGCCAACTACACTGGCTCCAAGTGAGTTACCTGCGATGACCAAGCGGGTGATTTTAGAGGAACCCATCGAAGGGCTGTTGTCGTCGTTTCCTGAGAATCCCGTGTAACCCAGAAGATAATCTGTCAGTAGCTCCAAAGCAAGCGTGTCGCTTGATGTTCCTGTGATTCCCAGGCCACTGACGAAGGCGATTTTGCCGTGTTCCTTTCCGGAAATTTCAACTCCATTTTCTGAGGCGTTGCCCTCCCATCGTTGAGGTTGTGGGGCCAAATCTGGCAGCTTGATATCAATAACCTCGAAATCTCCATTCGCATTTTCAGTCCCCAAAGCTGCGATAATGGCACCTGTCGCCAGCTGCGTAGACCGCAAGAAGTTTCCAGTGAGCCGTAAGCGGCCAGACTCATCTTCCATCATAATTTGGGTCAGAGAGGGATTGGAAGGATCGGTGTAGGTACGGCGGGGAGGGGGCGCAGAGGTGAAGTTCTATGGATTGTCAGTGAAAGAAGAAGCAGTAGCAAGACCAATAAACTGACCTCTCTGCTGAGATCCTCCAAAATATTCGGCTTCATAGGCAAATCCATGTATACGGTGCCGGCCACCCAGCACAGCTCGCCTTGTCGAACATCGAGAACTCGATCGACACGTCGTACCTTCTCTCCGGCAATCTAAATTTGCAAGCAGGTGTCAGAAAATCATAGCTGAGAGTGGAAAATGTTTGTAGGACCAAGTGGCCTTACAATCAGTCCATCCCACGCATCTTTCGCAACTTGTTCGACGGTGGGCTTCAACTTTGCGAGTCGCAAAAAGTACAGGTCATCATATTGCTGCTGGTAGTGCCGTCCTGCACCGGCTGGCAGATGGAATGTGCGACGAGGATTGTAATAGGAGGGCACGCGGTAAACTGGTTCCGGTTCCTGTTCCTCCTTGCTATTGAAAGTGTATTCAATGGTCAGCGAAGCTCCCCGGTATAAGTCTGGAGGGAGGTAGAATGGGCATGTATTACCTGGGAGGACACAAGAAAGTGTAATCCTCAGCATCCGGTGCCATGTTGTCCGGAATAATGCTGAGATCTTGTGTTTCGGGGGATGGTTGGGGTGGTGATGCAAAGAGATGTTCGACGCGCCCACGCGTCAGTTAGCGCGTTCAATTACATTCCCGCTTCGGGATCTCGTGGCAACTGGTCAAAGTGATTTTTATATGGGAACAATTGAATTAACTCCTGAATTTGCTACTTATTTCAGTAACATTATCAATTACCCTATATCAAGGCTAAATTAGGCTTAAAACAAACATATCATGACAATGACATCCAAGTAGTTGAGTTCTCAATATAGATCACATTAAGCCGACTTCAGGAGTGTATGTACATAGTATGTTCGGTAATGTTGGAAAAGGCTGTATACTTTAGATGTGATATTCATAAAGCATCATAAATTGCACTATGCATCTCAGCATCTGTGTAATGTAGATCGGCTATCAGCTGCCTCGGTCCATGGCCTAGGGCTTCCCCGCATTCTTCATGCTCAAACATCAAATATTTGTGATTTCCATAGATCGTCTATAAATCTAACAAGCAGAGGATTGAGATACGCCATCTATCACCCTAATTCTACCTCTGACAACCTACCATCGCTATCTCCACAATCCAACAGCCATGTCTCTCCAAACACCATTATGCTCTCTGCTCAAAATCCAACACCCGGTCCTGCTAGCTGGCATGGCCCGCGCATCTGGAGCTCCACTAGCAGCAGCAGTGTCTAACGCCGGAGGCCTGGGTACAATCGGCGGTCTAGGCTATACACCAGCGCAACTATCAGAGATGCTCACAGAGCTCAAGTCACTTCTTCGGGATCCCTCGCTCCCCTTCGGCGTGGATCTCGCCCTTCCGCAAGTTGGAGGCTCAGCGCGCGCAACAAACCATGACTACACACACGGCCACCTAGACGAGTTAATCGAGGTAACCATCTCACACGGCGCCAAGCTCTTCGTCTCCGCCGTCGGCATTCCACCAGCGAAGACTATCAAGCGTCTCCACGAGGCCGGTATCCTGATTATGAATATGGTTGGCGCGCCGAAGCACGCCGAGAAGGCATTCAAAGCGGGCGTAGATATTGTCTGTGCGCAGGGTGGCGAGGGCGGCGGTCATACCGGCGACGTGCCATTCTCCGTTCTCGTACCTGCTATTGTGGATGTTGCGCGGAACTATAAGAGCCCGTTGACTGGGCAACCGGCACTTGTCGTTGCAGCCGGTGGTATCAATGACGGCCGCAGTCTGGCGGCCTCATTGATGTATGGTGCTGCGGGTGTTTGGGTGGGCACGCGATTTGTGGCCTCGGATGAGAGCAGTGCTAGTCGCTTGCATAAAGAGGCTGTTGTTGGGGCGCAGTATGGTGAGACCAAGCGCACGCTCGTTATCTCTGGTCGGCCTTTGCGCATTCTGCCCAATGATTATATTAAGGAGTGGGAAGCGCGGCCTGCTGAAATTGCTGCGCTGACTTCCAAGGGCATTGTCCCCTTGATGCATGATTTGGAGAACGAGAAGGAAATCGATGTGCCATTCCTCATGGGTGATGTCTCGGCCAGCGTTAAGGAGATTAAACCAGCTGGGGTTATTGTGGAGGAAATGGTTCAGCAGGCTGTCGAAGTTCTCAAAGTCGGAGGCTCATATATCACTTCCACAGGGTCGGCGAGTAAATTATAGATGCAAGGCTCGATGAAAGGGAGGTATTCACCTGGTTCTGACGCTAGTGCAGTAATGTTTGGCATGTTTCTTTTTATTTCTCGATAACACAATG